TAGTGCTAGAGGCCAGAGCAATGCCATCCAGAGAATATGTCATCAGATAAAGAGTCTCTGAGTTGTTTGGGGCCAAGAACAATAACTTCAGTTCTGTCTGAATTTAACATCAGGAAATTGGTGCTCATCCAGGTTTTTATGTCTTTAAGGCAGTTATGGAGTTTAGTTAATTGATTACTTTCTTCTGGCTTCATCGATAAATACAACTGAGTATCATCCGCATAACAATGGAAATTTATAGAATGATTTCTAATGATGTTACCTAAAGGAAGCATATATAGAGTAAATAGGATTGGTCCGAGCACAGAACCTTGCGGAACTCCAAAACAAACTTTGGTACGTAAGGATGATTCATTATGAATGTGAACAAACTGAAAACGATCAGATAAATAAGATTTAAACCAGCTTAGTGCAGAACCTTTTAGGCCAATTAAGTGATCCAGTCTCTGTAGCAGAATGTGATGGTCAATTGTGACAAACGCCGCACTAAGATCTAATAAAACAAGTAGAGAGACAAGTCCTTTGTCTGAAGCAATCAGAAGGTCATTTGTAATTTTAACTAGTGCTGTCTCAGTGCTTTTTCTGAAATGCGGTGTTACTTTTACGCCAGATGTAATGGGACACAGACCTTCCAAAAAGTTCAACTTTTGTCTCGTCAGTCCACAGAATATTTTCCCAAAAGTCTTGGGGATCATCAAGATGTTTTCTGGCAAAAATAAGACGAACCTTAACGTTCATTTTGCTTAGCAGTGGTTTTCGTCTTGGAACTCTGCCATGCAGGCCATTTTTGCCCAGTCTCTTTCTTATGGTGGAGTCATGAACTCATAAACACTGACCTTAACTGAGGCAAGTGATGCCTGCAGTTCTTTAGATGTTGTTGTGGGGTCTTTTGTCACCTCTTGGATGAGTCGTCGCTGCACTCTTGGGGTAATTTTGGTCGGCCAGCCACTCCTGGGAAAGTTCACCACTGTTCCGTGTTTTCGCCATTTGTGGATAATGGCTCTCACTGTGGTTCGCTGGAGTCCCAAAGCTTTAGAAATGGCTTTATAACCTTTTCCAGACTAATATATTTCAATTACTTTTTTTCTCATTTGTTCCTGAATTTCTTTGGATTTCGGCATGATGTCTGTAGCTTTTGAGGATCTTTTGGTCTACTTCACTTTGTCAGGTAGGTCCTATTTAAGTGATTTCTAGATTGGGAACAGGTTTGCAGTAATCAGGCCTGGGTGTGGCGACAGAAATTGAACTTAGGTGTGATCAACCACAGTTATGTTTTAACGGGAGCTGGGGGCAAACACATTTCCCCACAGGGCCATGTAGCTTTGGATTTTTTTCTTCCTCATTAATAAAACCCTTCATTTAAAAACTGCATTTTGTATTTACTTGTGTTATCTTTGACTAATGTTTAAATTTGTTTGATGATCTGAAACATTTAAGTGTGGAAAACATGCAAAAAAGTAAGAAATCAGGAAGGGGTCAAACATCTTTTTCACACCACTGTATATTAGGTCTTACAGCTGTGTTTGAGGTATTAGAGACAGGCCTTTAATTTCTTTAACACAAACTGTTGTTCAGCAAAGATCAGGAAATATAACCAGTTTATTTGAACCAGTATAGTTTCACTTTTATAAAAATCAGGTTTTTAATAACAGATCAAATATGTGTTATGTTCCGACACTCGTTTCAGGTCACAGACACATAATCAGACTTTACGGCAGTCACAGAGGAAACGTAGAGTCACCACCTGTTCTGTCATCATGTCAGTTAATCTGAGTGAATCACGATCTTCTCTGGTTCTCATGGTTTCAGTAAAATGAACCGAGCTAACGATGTGTAGCGTCTCCGCACTGACAAAAAGTTTAAACATTTATATCCATATGTGCGATCTAAACAGCTATCTAACGTTAGCTCAGGTGGGTCGTCAACCATCCGGTTTTATACGTCCAGAGAACTTCTCTAAAAATAAAGTGATGGTAAGAGACCAGGCCTCTAATAGAGACAGGCCTTTATTTGTCACTGGGCTGGTAAAAGAGACTGGGTGTTTATTAGAAGTTTTACGGTAAACTTAACCATGACACATACCACTGATCAATCTCATCGATCCCCCCCCCCCCCCCCCCCCACCCCACCCCCAACGGACCAATCACCTTTGTCCAGAGATTTCTCCAGCACCATGCTGGTTGGTCGACCATACTCAAAGGTGATAATGATGTCATCGACCACCTCCAGACTCTTGTTCCAGGACAGAGTGATGTTGGCCAATAGGGGCTCAGGATACCTGGACCATGTGACTGTTTGCCAATAGGTGATGAGCCCACCCCTTTCCCTGTCGCCCATCAGCTGAGGAGGATGAGACAGGTCGGGACTGGACGCATCGCACTCATCGCTGCACAGGTACGGGTTCTCCTGAGAACAGGAAAGAGTCAGAGTTATAGGGGTTCTCCTGGGAACAGGAAACAGAGAGAGCATTATACCAGTTCTCCTGAGAACAGGACACAGTCAGAGTTATACCGGTTCTCTTGAGAACAGTAAACAGTCAGAGTTATAAGGGTTCTCCTGAGAACAGGAAAAAGAGTTATACCAGTTCTCCTGAGAACAGGAAACAGTCAGAGTTATACCAGTTCTCCTGAGAACAGGAAACACTCAGAGTTATACAGATTTTCCTGAGAACAGGAAACACTCAGAGTTATAAGGGTTCTCCTGAGAACAGGAAAAAGAGTTCTAACAGTTCTCCTGAGAACAGGAAAGAGTCAGAGTTATACAGATTTACCTGAGAACAGGAAGCACTCAGAGTTATAAGGGTTCTCCTGAGAACAGGAAAAAGAGTTCTAACAGTTCTCCCGAGAACAGGAAACAGTCAGAGTTATACAGGTTCTCTTGAGAACAGGAAACAGTCAGAGTTATACCAGTTCTCCTGAGAACAGGAAACTGTCAGAGTTATACGGGTTCTCATGAGAACAGGAAACAGTGTCAGAGTTATACAGGACCACCTGAGAACAGGAGCCAGTCAGAGTTATACCAGTTCCCCAGGACCGGAACAGGAAACAGAGTCACCATTTGATGAAGTTTTAGAACGTTCTGCAGGTGCAGAGAACCTAGACACTTTTTGTCCCAGTTCAGTTCTGACTGTGGACACGTGACAAAAAGTCCCATTAACAAAGAACATTGACTACATGTTTCATCCTGAAGAGAGGATGTCAGGAGGAACCTGGCTGAGAGCAACTCACAACAGAGTACCTCAGTTAGAACCTTCAGATATCTAACAGTAAAACTCAGCTCAGTCTGTTGGGTTCTACTGACTGTGTACTACTGACTGTGCTCTCCTGACTGTGTTCTCCTGATTATGTTCTACTGACTGTGCTCTCCTGACTGTGTTCTCCTGACTGTGTTCTACTGACTGTGCTCTCCTGACTGTGTTCTCCTGATTGTGTTTTACTGACTGTGTTCTCCTGACTGTGTTCTACTGACTGTGTTCTCCTGACTGTGTTCTCCGGATTGTGCTCTCCTGACTGTGCTCTCCTGACTGTGTTCTACTGACTGTGTTCTACTGACTGTGTTCTCCTGACTGTGTTCTCCTGATTGTGTTCTACTGACTGTTCTCCTGATTGTATTTTACTGACTGTGTTCTACTGACTGTGTTCTACTCACACAGCTCTCACACAGATCTGAAGGTAACAATCTGGATTTAATAAAGAACATAAGTTTCGTTTCGCTGTGACCTATATGTGTGTGTGTATGTTTTACATTGTGTGTGTGTGTGTTTTACATTGTGTGTGTGTGTTTTACATTTTGTGTGTATGTGTGTCTGTGTTACAGTGTGTGTGTGTGTGTGTGTGTGTGTGTCTGTGTTACAGTGTGTGTGTGTGTGTGTGTGTGTGTGTCTGTGTTACAGTGTGTGTGTGTGTGTGTGTGTTGTTTTAAGCCTGGTGTTGATCTGATCAGTGTGTCAGAGGTTAAACCTTTTAGCTGCCAACTGTCACACTGAACCAGACTGACCTCAGGTCTGATTATTGACCATATATGTATTGATCATGTGTGTATTGATCATGTGTGTACTGACCATGTGTGTATTGATCATGTCTTCTGATCGATCAGCATCTCTTCACTTGTGTCTGATGTGTGTTTTTTTGGGGGGAACTTGAACCTGATCAATTATTAAGAATGGATTTGTCACATATCAATAATTCAGACGTGTCTTCAGCGTCCCTCAGGAACAATTAGACAGACAGCAGGACAGTGAAGCTGCGCCTCAGGACCCCCTGCGAGGACACCAGAGGATGCTAAGAGGTCAGGACATGATTGACAGGAGTGTCTCTGTTTACAGAGGACATTATCATACTGTTAATGGGACACTTCTAATTCAGGAGGACGACAGTCTCATAATGTGAACATGTCCGTCTCTTCTCTGCTGCAGGTGGACTCTTTGACCTCTGAGATGTTTGCTCCGATTATTAAAGGACAGAAAAACGCAGCTGACATTTAAAATCTGAGACACATCTCATAAAGACACACTGCAGAGACACGTCTCATAGAGACACACTGCAAAGACACGTCTCATAAAGACACACTACAGAGACACATCTCAAAAAGACACACTGCAAAGACATGTCTCATAGAGACACACTGCAAAGACACGCCTCATAGAGACACACTGCAGAGACACATCTCAAAAAGACACACTGCAAAGACATGTCTCATAGAGACACACTGCAGAGACACGTCTCATAGAGACACACTGCAGAGACACATCTCAAAAAGACACACTGCAAAGACACGTCTCATAGAGACACACTGCAAAGACATGCCTCATAGAGACACACTGCAGAGACATGTCTCATAAAGACACACTGCAGAGACACGTCTCATAAAGACACTCAGAGACACGTGTCATAAAGACACACTGCAGAGACACGTCTCATAAAGACACTCAGAGACACGTGTCATAAAGACACACTGCAGAGACACGTGTCATAAAGACACACTCAGAGACACGTCTCATAAAGACACACTGCAGAGACACGTGTCATAAAGGGGTCCATGTCATTGGTTCGACATCCCATTAGTCCGACTGTCCGTGGTGCTGAACGCCTCGCGGCGGGCGTATGGTGCGCCGCGACCGGCTTGAGGTGGAGCAGGCTCACGGCTTATGTGTTTGTCACTTTCTTTTTCATTTTAACCCACACCATGATCTTTTCCTGACCCTAACCAAGTGGATTTTGTGCCTAAACCTAACCAGACCTTAACCACAGGGCATCATGATGATTTCAGAACGGACTTCGGAACAATGGCTTTAATATGGTTGGAACAATGGGATGTCGAACCAATGGGCAGTTCCCGTCATAAAGACACTCAGAGACACGTCTCATCATCTCACAAAGACACACTCAGAGACACGTGTCATAAAGACACACTACAGAGATGTGTGTCATGAAGACACACTGCAGAGACACGTGTCATAAAGACACTCAGAGACACGTCTCATAAAGACACACTGCAGAGACACATCTAATAAAGACACTCAGAGACACATCTCATAAAGACACACTGCACAGACAAGTCTCATAAAGACACTCAGAGACACGTGACATAAAGACACACTCAAAGACACGTGTCATAAAGACAAACTGCACAGACACGTGTCATAAAGACACTGCACAGACATGTCTCATAAAGACACACTCAAAGAGACGTGTCATAAAGACACACTGCAGAGACACGTGTCATGAAGACACGCTGCAGAGACCGGTGTCATAAAGACACTCAGAGACACGTCTCATAAAGACACACTGCAGAGACACGTGTCATAAAGACACACCACAGAGACATGTGTCATAAAGACACTCAGAGACACGTGTCATAAAGACACACTGCAGAGACACGTAACATAAAGACACACTGCAGAGACACGTCTCACAAAGACACTCAGAGACACGTCTCATAAAGACACACTCAGAGACACATGTGTCATAAAGATACACTGCAGAGACACGTCTCATAAAGACACGTCTCACAAAAACACACTCAAAGACACGTCATAAAGACACACAAAAACACACTCAAAGACACATGTCATAAAGACACACTGTAGAGACACGTCTCACAGACACATGTCTCACAGACAGAGAGGACAGACACATCTCACAGACACATGTCTCACAGAGAGAGTGGACAGACACATGTCTCACAGTCAGAGTTGACAGACACGTCTCACAGACACACGTCTCACAGACACATGTCTCACAGACACATGTCTCACAGACAGAGTGGACAGACACACGTCTCACAGACACATGTCTCACAGACACATGTCTCACAGACAGAGTGGACAGACACACGTCTCACAGACACACGTCTCACAGACACATGTCTCACAGACAGAGTGGACAGACACACGTCTCACAGACAGAGTGGACAGACACACGTCTTACAGACAGGTCTCACAGACAGAGTGGACAGACACACGTCTCACAGACACATGTCTCACAGACAGAGTGGACAGACACATCTCACAGACACATCTCACATG